TGGCACAGCTTGAGATTGAGGTTGTGCTCAGGTAAGTATTTATGGGTGAGGAGGTAGGGGGGCTGCCTTTACAACTTTAAACTAACTGCATGCCACCAATATCTTCTCGATTTGTCTGGCAGGCCATCAGTCAGGGGATATACTATTAAAATTACTCATGAATTCGCCTACATTCAGCCCAATTGTCCCAAACCATGTCCAGGTCATGTGGACCTTTTGCTTGCACAGGGCTGCATATGCCCAGGCAGCTTTTATTTAATGCATGGCCCGTCCCATTGTTCATTAACGGACTTCAGGATTCCACAATGACTAGCTAGCTTACATGATGAAGAATATTCATGGGGATCTCACCAGTTGAGCAGTCTGGATATGGCTTGAGAGGTGAGAAGGTATTTTTCTACAGAGGACAATCGAATTAAAATCTTTAAAATAGCCTTTCTCAACCATGGAATCCTAAACTTCCTCCAGAGGATTTTAGGGGTTCCTTGCACTCCTCCAGAGGTTTCTAGGGGTTCCTTGAACTGTGGCTGATTGACCTCCCATTGATGGTGCTTGCATGGTTCCGGGGCCAAAGTCACTTGACCAGCTACATGACGCCAATGCTGTCTGTGTAGGTGGCATTTTGATCACCAGTGTAGGTGGGAACGTCCTACTGACCACCCATATAAGATGCATTTTTTCCCAGTGACCCCTGATAAAGGATTCCTAAAGACTGCAAATTATTTCAAGGGTTTCCTCAGGGGGTGTAGAAACATTGATAAAGATTGGTCTAAATTGTGGTGTCCTTATTCTGTGTGGAATCACAACAATACGATTTTGCAGCTCATGTATGCCCTTTACCAGCACATTTCTTACGCCATTTTCTTCTTGGCTGCAGTTGCACTCTATTGATAGGAACTGTGTGCCGGAGAGAGGACAGAAAACAGACGGAATGTTGAAATATTGCTCGGTTCTTCACCAAGACTTTTATGACACCTCCTGTATAATACTGTTTACAGCCATTAATCATGTTGCCGAGTTATGAGTAGGCTGACAGTTTCCTCTAACTTTTTCCTTAGTAATGGTTTTCTAGGCTGGGTGTGTCACAAGAGGAATTCTGCAGAATGAATAGACCGACAAACCACAAAAATGCTTCTTTGCATATAGAAGAGAAAAAAAAATGCTGCAGGTATTGGCAATAAAAAGTGGACTAAAAATGTGTTCACATGTGCTCTTATCATCACTGCCCCAAAAAAGCGTTCCGGGTGGACTGCTTTATGGAGGGTGTTTGACAGGAGGAGGAAATATGTCACCTCCTCATTGCCTGTTTTAACCCTCAAAAAGCCAAACCACTGTGCTGCAACCATGTGCAGTGCAGCCGAATCTAGTTACATGGGTCACTTTGGTGTCTGTCGCTCAGTGCAACATGCTTCTTAAGCCTCGCTGTAGCATGTGTACAGCCCGGAGCGGCCGCATTTCTCCATTTAGGTAGGCGGTCAGGGGAGAGAGAGGTTTTGAAATCGCAGCTCAGTTGCCTGATTTTACCACCCCCTGGCCATGGTGGCACCCTAAGGCCCCATGTACACGGGAACACTTCTGAACGATGGAAACGGACTGCTGGAAAATGTAGGTTAAAAACCATCTGTTTAGCCGCGTTTGCATAACGCATTTATGCGCGTTTGTGTTTAGAAGCTTTTTTTTTAAGATAAGCACAGGAGAACCTCCCAAATGCCCAGAATGCACTGAAAAGTGGTAAATTATTAACTATTTCAGACTGTTTCAGAGAAATACAGTGAGTAGAAGCAGAGACAGCAGTATGTGTGAGATTAGCTTAGGTGTGAGTTGCTTATTAACATATCTTTTGTTTCCAAGGGTGGGAAAGGTGTCTGGTGGAGGAGTCATTAAGGCCACCTGGCAGGGGGTCTTCATGAGGAATTTGAGGTGTGAATGGGCATTAACATATCTTTTGTTTCCAATGATGGGAGAGGTCTGAGGTGTGAATTGGTCATTACAATGTGTGACAAGCTTGGTAGGAACATCCTGTGTTCAGTGTTTTGTCCATCTGAGTACATTGAAAAACGCTTTGCATGCATTTTTCATGATGAAAAAAGGCTCTGGACAGCATCGGGAACTGGAAGAGTTAAAAAAAAGTTTTCAGACGCAAACGCTTATAAACGCGATTTGCCATGTTTAGCCGCGTTTTGCGTTTGAAACGCTGATAAAATCGACTGCTGAAAGCAAGTTTTCTGCGTTCAAAAAACCAACTGTAAACTCAAATGCCTGTAAATGACTATAAACAAAGATGTGTACATGGACACATAGGAAAACATTAGGGAGAGTTCAGGGGCTGCTGAAAAAAAGCTGAACAGCTCCTAAACGTGAGTTTATCAGCTGCAGTGTACATGAGCCGTAACTCAGTTCCCAATGCTGTCCAGAGCCTTTTTTCATCATGAAAAATGCATGCAAAGCGTTTTCAGTGTACTCAGATGAACAAAACACTGAACACAGGATTGTTCCTACCAAGCTCATCACACATTGTAATGACCAATTCACACCTCAGACCTCTCCCACCCTTGGAAACAAAAGATATGTTACTGACCATTCACACCTCAAATTCCTCATGAAGACCCCCTGCCAGGTGACCTTAAATAACTCCCTTCACCAGACACCTTTCCCACCCTTTGGAAACAAAAGAAATGTTAATGAGCAACTCGCACCTAAACTAATCTCAACACATGCTGCTGTCTCTGCTTCTACTCTCTGTATTTCTCTGAAATAGTTAATAATTTACCACTTTTCAGTGCATTCTGAGCATTTTGGGAGGTTCTCCTGTGCTTATCTTAAAAAGCTTCTAAACGTAAACGCACATAAACACGTTATGCAAACGCGGCTAAACAGACGTTTTTTAACCTACATTTTTCAGCAGTCAGTTTCCATTGTTCAGAAGTTTCCCGTGTACAAGGGGCCTAAAACTAAATTTTTTTGTCTTTTATTTGCTTTGTCAGACAACGTTGTGTACGATGTAAGTTTTGGTTGAACAGCACAAGAATCCAGTGGCTTAACCCCATTTGTCAATTAAAGTGGTATTAAACCCTAAAGTAAACATTTATATTGTAACTTGCCAATTCTTTGATATGATGGCTGTATCCATTTTGTTTTCTGGACTTTCTTCTATTTTCATCTGGTGATCCAGCCAGTGAGTCTGTTGTTTTTCAACAGAAAAGCTCTCATCCAGATGTATAATTTTACAGAGATGAGACAAACCATTTACCACTTACAGGGGTGCTTACAATAGTCTGCTTTTATATATTCATGTAAAACCTTTATCCCAAAAGAAAAAAATATGCTGTAACTGCTTATGAAGTGTGAGCTGGAGTTTGGCTTCAATTTGTTGGTGTATTTAAAGTGTTACTAAACCCACAACAGTACAATCAGTCTGTAGATGCAGTAAAGCATGCTTGTTATACTCACTGTGGAACCTAAGGGGTTAATCCTCCGCCTGTCGTCTCTGATCCTCCCCTTTTTCCACAGTCCCCATTTGCTCATAGTACAGATCCTTGGGGGCAAGCTGCACATGCTCAGTTTGGTGTGTATTGCTAGAGAGTTTATTCTTTTTCTTGGGAGAGTGCATGTGATCAGCACAGGGCCAATCAGCGCTGTCTGGACAGAGAAGGGTCCTTCAGCCTCAGAGAACAGTCAGAGGAGAATGAAAACTCCTCCTACATGCTTTAACCAGTGCTCTGCTTGACACTGATAGAAGTCCTAAGACTGCTATATACTGCTGATGAAAAAAGGTATTTAGCAGTATATATTTACTAAAATAATTGCATTTCCACGTTCTGTGTACTGTGGGAGACCAGATATAGTGAATGCAGGGTCTGGGGAGACCAGATATAGTGAATGCAGGGTCTGGGGAGACCAGATATAGTGAATGCAGGGTCCTGGAAGATCGGATATAGTGAATGCAGGGTCCGCGGAGAGTGGATATAGTGAATGCAGGGTCCGCGGAGAGTGGATATAGTGAATGCAGGGTCCGGGGAGACCGGATATAGTGAATGCAGGGTTCTGGAAGATCGGATATAGTGAATGCAGGGTCCAGGGAGAGTGGATATAGTGAATGCAGGGTCTGGGGAGAGCGGATATAGTGAATGCAGGGTCCGGGGAGAACAGATATAGTGAATGCAGGGTCCGGGGAGAACAGATATAGTGAATGCAGGGTCCGGGGAGAACAGATATAAGAATGCAGGGTCCTGGGAGAGCAGATATAGTGAATGCAGGGTCCGGGGAGAGCGGATATAGTGAATGCAGGGTCCGGGGAGAAACAGATATAGTGAATGCAGGGTCCGGGGAGACCAGATATAGTGAATGCAGGGTCTGGGGAGACCAGATATAGTGAATGCGGGGTGCGGGGAGACCAGATATAGTGAATGCAGGGACCGGAGAGAGAGCGGATATAGTGAATGCGGGGTCCTGGGAGAGTAGATATAGTGAATGCAGATTCCGGGGAGAGCGGATATAGTGAATGCAGGGTCCGGGGAGACCGGATATAGTGAATGCAGGGTCCGGGGAGACCGGATATAGTGAATGCAGGGTCCGGGGAGACCAGATATAGTGAATGCAGGGTATGGGGAGACCAGATATAGTGAATGCAGGGTCTGGGGAGACCAGATATAGTGAATGCGGGGTGCGGGGAGACCAGATATAGTGAATGCAGGGTCCGGGGAGAGCGGATATAGTGAATGCAGGGTCCGGGGAGACCGGATATAGTGAATGCAGGGTCCGGGGAGACCAGATATAGTGAATGCAGGGTCCGGGGAGACCAGATATAGTGAATGCAGGGTCTGGGGAGACCAGATATAGTGAATGCGGGGTGCGGGGAGACCAGATATAGTGAATGCAGGGTCCGGGGAGAGCGGATATAGTGAATGCGGGGTCCTGGGAGAGTAGATATAGTGAATGCAGATTCCGGGGAGAGCGGATATAGTGAATGCAGGGTCCGGGGAGACCGGATATAGTGAATGCAGGGTCCGGGGAGACCGGATATAGTGAATGCAGGGTCCGGGGAGACCGGATATAGTGAATGCAGGGTCCGGGGAGACCGGATATAGTGAATGCAGGGTCCGGGGAGACCAGATATAGTGAATGCAGGGTCCTGGGAGAGTAGATATAGTGAATGCAGATTCCGGGGAGAGCGGATATAGTGAATGCAGGGTCCGGGGAGAGCGGATATAGTGAATGCAGGGTCCGGGGAGACCGGATATAGTGAATGCAGGGTCCGGGGTTTAGTAACACCTTATATCCGCTAGTACAATTAACACTCCCCTACCCCCAGACTGACAATGCTGCTGTCCAAAGGTGCCTGCTGTGCTCCTTCATCCAGAGTGGGGTCCTCTAATACAGGTGGTGTGTTTACTGGCCAGACCATCGGGTGTAAACAGAGGGGAAAAAAGAGACCTAATGCA